CGCATCTGTTGGGAGCAGCAAGTGAATGAGTGGGTTAAGACGCATCAGCCCCAGGCTGGCCTGTGTCAATTTCACCCCGCCCCCCACCCCCGAAACCTCAGGTGGAGGGGGTTCTGCTAGCGTCTTCTGAGATCTGAGCCTGCGGAAGAAACTGGTGTTGAAACCCAGAATCAGGCTGTGGTGTGGGGTAGGGAGCCCTGGTGTCACCAACACCTTCTCCAGCTATGTGCTGTTGTGATGTCATCACCATTGTCACCCACCAGTGTCCTTAAGAGCAGTAACATTATTTATATATTTACATAAAAGGCTACACAACTTCTTATTTTCCGCTCTTTTTTTTCTTTTTCAGATTTTTTTTTTTTCATTTGTTTGGAAGGCAGAGTTAGAGAGAGAGAGAGATATTTTCTACCTGCTGTCTCCAAATGGTTGCAATGCCTGGGACCAGGAGCCTGAAACTTCATTGGGTCTCCCATGTGGGTGCAGGGGCCCAGGCACTTGGGCCATCTTCCTCTGCTTTCCCAGGCACATCAGCAAGGAGCTGGATGGGAAGCAGAGTAGCCGGGACTCAAACAGGTAGCCATGGTATCTTCATTCTCTCCTCTGAGCGTGTCCACCGGCGTGCGTTTCATCCCTACCCTTCTGGTCATGTCCACTGCCACCCATGTGTGCTTCCACACCGATCACTGTCATACCACATGACTCCAACACCATCGCAATAGCCATCTGCCCCACTTCCGGCGTGATCACCATTGCTCTTCCCACCTGACTGACATCCTCTCTGTATCCGACCTCTGCATCAGCCCCTGGCATCTCGGCCGTTGTCCCTGTGGTTGTGTGCCAAGTGGCCTCCGCTCGCAATGATTTCCCCACCTCTGCCCCTTGCTTTGCTCTCAAGCTGTTTGCTGATCCTTAGAGTCTCTGAGAGAAACAGTAAGAATTCCCCTGCCCGCTTGTCTACTCTCTGCTCGGTTTTGACAGTCACGTTTACTATTGAGCAAGAGGGGCTGGGTGGTTGGCAATGGGAACTGAAACCAAGGAGAAGGGAAGAGGTAGGAAGGGGAACAGAGAGTAGGTGTTGCGGGGAGTGTGCTGAGCAGGGGGGACCCTGCAGCCTGCGTGCTGGCTTGGAGTCATGATGACAGAATTGGTTCTGATGGCATGCAGTGGTCTTGTTGTTTGACCTTGGGCTGGTCGCTGCCTCCCTCTGGGCCGCACTTCCCCACTGGCAGCACCTCCCCTCTCCACACCCTCGGCATGTCTTTGGAGGGATCCAGATTTTTCTGTACCTCTGGCCCCTGGGCCTTTGCACATGCTGTTTCCATCCCGGAAGGGGTGTCCCTTCCACTCTGTTGAGAAACTTCAACTGATCTTTCTAAGCTGTTCTCCAGGGTTCCCCTGAGTCTTCCAGGCTCAGGTTCTTAATGATCGTTTCCTCATCAGGAACCTACTGCACTGCTCTCCTCTAACACTCTGTCCCCGACATGTCCTTTGTCATAGCTCTGAGCACATGTCCACCTATCAGCTGCCCCTGCAGACTGGGATGTCTGGGAGCCAGGGTCACTGGCTTATCTAGAAGGTAGAGTGAGTGGGGGTGGTGGGTGCTCAGAGCATGTTTCTCAGGGAGAGCATGAATGCCCACATGGGTGATGCCAGCTGCTCAGTGCAGGGACACAGCTGTGCAGCACCTGCTATGTGTCTGCTCTGCGTGCAGCATGTAGCCCCAGAAGGCATGTCCAGGGATTGTCCCCACTCTCCAGATGAGAAGCCTGGGGTCCAAGAGCTTAGTGGCTTGCTCAAGGTTGAGCCGTGGGCCACCTGACTCAGCTCTTTGCTGCCAAGTCGTGGGAAAGAACAACTGCTGAAAAGACGCTGTAGGAGGAGGACAGGTGAATGCTGTCACCTGACATGCTGGGAGGGAAGAACCCTGCTCCTGTCCCAAAGGCCGGCTGGACTCAGAGCTTGGGGAGACACCAGGGTGCAGGAGGAGAAGGTGGAGATCAGGAGCCTGGAAATGTAAGCTAGTGGTGCAGTCCCCACCTTCCTGTGCCTGAGCCAGGTGCTTTCCGGAACCACAGAGAGCGCTCGGTCAGAGCTGCAGATGAGGCTGTGGGGTGAGGCCTGTGGATGGGCAGGGTGGGCCCTGGGCGTTGCATGGCTGGATGAGCCTGGGCTGCCTGCAGTCTGTTCTCCTGACCTTCCTGGGCAAGTGGCAGTGATTCTTGGTCTGAGAGGGAGGCTGAGGCCGGGGACGAATTGGAGCTGGCCGGGTTACACAGCAGCGAGGCTGTGGAGGAGGCTCTGGGGTTTGGGACTTGGCCTGGGCAGGGGCAGATGAAATCAATGTCTGGCCCCTGGGCCACCAGCTCAGCTCCAACTGAGTGGGACCTTGGACGGAGATGGTGGTGGTGATGGCAGGGTCATGTCCGAGCTGGGCTACCTAACCCAGGGCTGTGCATCCATAGCCTCCATTTCCTTATCTGTATAATGGGGAAGTGCTGCCAGCCTTGCAGGCTTTGGGGAGCTTGCTATGCAGGCCTATGTGTGTGTGTGTGTGCACATCCAAGCACATAGCAGGTGCCCAGTAAATGTGACTTCCTCTCCATCCCACTGTTCTAGAGCCTTCTAGGTGCCAAAGCCGACCTTGGCCTTTGTCCAAGGCTGAGGGCCCAGCAGGAGATCTGAGTCAGGCTCTGAGATGACCCCACAATGTGACCTTGGCCTAGTCCCTGCTCTTGAGGGGCTTCAGGGTTCTTGCCTGGCAAGTGGAAATAGAGTCACCTTCACCCACCAGGCCCCAGGTCTGTATTGCCAGGGTGAAGTGGGCTTGTAATCACAAGTGGTTTTCAGGAAAGCAGACACTTGTGCACCTGCTGTGGCTTGCTCCGGCTGTGAGCAGGGGGCAGGGTGGGGGGTGGGGCCTGCTCTAACCAGCTGAGGTTCGGGCAGGGGAGTGGGAGAAGGGGTGGGTCTCACGTGAAGCCAGGAGGCCTGGAGAGACCAAGTGGGCTGCAGAGGCATGAAGAGAATCGACTGGGGCTGCTGGTGGGCCTCTCTGAGCCTCACTCTCTTTATCCGTGTAATGGGGATAAGGTTGTTAGGAATGGTCCTGCAGCTGGAGTGGTGGTTAGGCTTCCTGCCCTTCCCCAGGGTTGTCAGCCACAGGGAAGGCCTGGCTAGTTTGAGGAACTGATGGCTGGACAGTGCCTGGTAATCTGGCAGTAAGAGATGTTTAAGACTGCTACTGCAGAGGCGGGAGCTGGGATGAGGGTGTCACAGGCCTCTGAAAGGGATGCTGTCCAGGGTAACCACAGGGCCTCAGAACGGCCTTATCTCCACTTTCAGTCGTTTCTTCTAGTGACTTCTGGAATGTTCCATAGCTGTCATGTGATGTTTGTGACATCGCAGGCATAGAATTTAGAACTAGATCTGGAGCAGGGCTTAGAAGAGCTTGGCCAGCAGTGTGCATGAAGTGGATCTCAGAGTCCCTTGGGGTCAAGACTAGCAGGGTTCCGGGTGATTTGAGAGTAGGGGGAGGGAAGGGACACAAGGACAGAGCCTACTCGCTGCCGGCCCCATCTCACTACGTGCCCTGGGCTGAGCTGCCTACCCTTTGTGAGCTTGTGCAACCAGCAGAGGGAACTTAGGAAACCAGTGACTGGGCTCCTTCCAGCAGCTGGGAGTTGGGACTTTCTGACTCAGCTTTGTTTCCAGTCTCAGAGCACCCCAGCTTCAGTGGCTTCCCCTGGTCTGCCAGGGGGGCGCGTGCTAGGAGGTCCTTTCCAACCCTTGGTCTGACTTGTCTGGGCACCACTGTGCAGACGCAAGGTAATCTGCTGCTCTCTCAATCCAGTGATCATCACTTCCCCTATGAGAAAATTCCAAGAAGCCAAGTGACTTGGCCAGGGGCACACAGTGGACTGAATTCAACCCGAAGGCTGCTTCTTCATCATCATGTTTCTGTGTCACCCTTTTCCACTCCCCTGAACAGGCATACTTGACAGGAAGACAAATTCAGACCAGTGTCTGAGCTAAAAAAAAAAAAAAAAATACCCCATCAGCAAGGGGGAAACAGATGGTGGCTGTCTGGCCGCCTGTCAGCTGAGTTACTAGCACAGGGCTGCTTAGAAAGTCAGTGTGAGTGTGGGCCAGATTAATAGAGGTAGGGCACTGGTGGAAAAGGAGGGGATAGGCTGCTGGTTTTCAGGGTGGGTAGATTGTTCCTCTAGAAGTTTGTGTGTGTGTGTGTACATGGGCATGGAGTTCAGTGAGCTCCCCATGGTGGGAGACATTTACACAGAGGCTGCAGGACAAAAGCAGAGGGGGCATGGACCAGGTAGCCTCAAGGTCTGTGGGCTTCTGGGGTCCCCAGGCACATCAGGGATCAGGCCTTTCTCCATCACTGTTGGCCAGGATCCTTGGTGCAGGGTGGGAGTCGTCAGTTCATTCACGTGTTCAGGAAACACAGAGGCTACAGCCCAGAAGAGAAGAGGGACCGGCCTTTCCAGCCTGCAGCCCACAGTCCTGTGGGGACAGTGGTGTTCAGGGAGGTGACACAGGTGGCACAGATGCCTTCGGGAAGACCACCTGCCTGGGCTACGGCCAGGGCTTCCGAGACCCGCATGGATGGTTCCAAGAGCTCTGAACTCTGATGTGGCTCAGGACGCCTGGAGGCTGTTGTCACAGGGCCTGAGGGGCTAGAGTCCCCACTTCAGGTCTCACCTTTGTAGTAGCCACAATTACCACTCAATGAGTATTGGGTGCCATTCTAACTGGGCTCCTGGGGGAGATTTGTCTATTTGCCTCATTCTGTAGATGAGCAAACTGAGGTGCAGAGAAGCCCAGGAGCTGGTGTGGAAAGGCCAGGCATGGAGGCAGAATGTCCTGGCTACTACAGGCCTCCTGTGCCTACCCCTGGGGTGATGTGTGTGTGTGGGTGGATGGGGAGGGGCCTGGCAGTGGAGCCACATGGGCCTAACTGACTGGTGCTCTGTCTGCCCCAGATCATGAGTGTCCTGCTGTTTGTCGAGCACTCGGTGGAGGTGGCTCAAGGCAAAACCTCCTGCAAGACCTCCAAGTCAGGCTACCTCAGGATTGGTAAGACACATGGTGGGGGCGGGGAGGGTGAGGTGGGCATCGAGGAAGAGGGAGCGAGGATCCTGGCTGGGGTGGACAGGCTGAGGTGGGAGGTTCTGCCCCTTCCCCCAGCTGGACAACCTCTGGCAGGCCCTGCCCCTCTGCCGGCCTTGGGATTTCTTCTGCAGGTGGGGCTGCTCCACCTGTCCCTTGCCCAAGCTGCAGGTATTGGCAACACAGGGGGGCACTGCTTTGCAAACCCAGGCAGCACCTTGAGGTCTCAGCTCACCCCCGTACCCCACGTTCCAGCTCAGTTGCCATCACTAAAACCAAATCTCAACTCCTGTTTGGGGTTCAAGCCCTGGCTACTGCCACTCCGTGACCACATCCCCTGTGGGCGCCCCTCTCACCACGCTCTGGCCACAGTGACCACACCTGGAGCACCCTCCCCCTTAAGGCTCATGACCAACTCAGGGCCCCCACACACAGGATGCCCCACACCTCCCAGTCCCAGCCCCACCGCAGCTGAAGCAGAGCCCGGAAGGCCCACACACCAGGCTTTGGCTGTCCCACCTCCTTCTGTCTGCTCTCCTGGCCTACAAGTGGTGTGAGGGCCGGTGTTGAGGTCCTTGTTCACACTCAAGTCTGGCCCCTGGGGTTACCGTGCTGTTTTGGAGCCTGGCTGGGGTCCCTGTGGGCACCTGCCGGCCCTCATGGCTCTACCTTGCCTTTCAGCCGACTTGATCTCCAGCTTCTTGCTCATCTTCATGCTCTTTGCCATCAGCCTGAGCCTCCTGATTGGTGTGATTAAGGTGAGGGGGTGGACGGGAGGTGGGAGCAAGGGGTTTGCCCCACGGGCCTCCTGCCCCTCCTGGGTGGGTATCTAGAGAACTTCCCTCTATAGATGGCTGCACTTCCCCAGGTACTCCCAAGCTGCAGGTCTCAGGTCTCTGCTGCCGTGCAGCGGGCATGACAGGGCTGTGCTGCCCACTGGCTCCTGGCTGAGACATGGCTGGGCACCTACATCCTTTCTCACTGCATGCAGAGACAGAGGGGGTTGGTGGAGAAAGAGGAAGGGTTGGGGAGTACAGAGAAAGCTCTGGGAATATCATCAATGAAATGAGCTGGAGACAGGGCGCAGAGGGGCAGATGCGGCCAGCTCAGTCCCCTGGCTGGGGTCTGTAGCAGGAGTCATGGTCTGCAGAGCATGGTCTAGTGGGGGTGGGCAGAGGGACTTGCACAGGCGGGGAAGGTCATGGGAGACAGCCCTGGGACTGCTGGACCCAAGGCAAAGCTTCTGGGAGGGTGAGACGGGCTGCGGCTTACACCTCACAAAAGAGGAACCGCTTGACCCGTTGGTTCCCAGACGGGCAGGAAGCTGGGGCCTTGCCACGCAGCCACAGTGGCGGCGCCCAGGTGGAGGGGCCTTCCTGTGTCGGCAGGTGGCTTAGCACTTGCAGGGCAGGCAGAGCCGAGAAGTCATTTGGTTGGTGGAAGATCTACACCTGGCTCGAGGGGCTGTGAGCCTCCCCTGGCTGACACTCTGGGGCCCTGAGCTTGGGGAAGCCCCTCGCCCTGTGCAGGGTGACAGAGAAGGGAGCAGGCTTCCCTGAGTTGTTGACATTCCATCCAGCGTGCTTTGGTGGTCCTTGAGCAGTCCTAGCAGCTCTGTGAGACACCAGCGCTCTCCCTTCCTCTTTCTGTGTCCCCACCTCTGGGTGTACAAGCATGGGCCCTGGTCTAGATGGCCACTTGCCTTTTATTTTGATTAAGATTTATCTTATTTATTTGAAGGGCATAGAGAGAGAGGGAGAGCTCTTCCATCTGCTGGTTCACCCCTCAGATGGCGGCAATGGCTAAGGCTGGGCAAGGCAAAAGTAGGCAGGCTCTGGAATTGCACCCCAATCCCCCGTACGGGTGCGGAGGCCCTCCTCCGCTGCTTTCCCAGGCACACTGACAGGGAGCTGGGATGGAAGCGGAGCAGCCAGGACTTGAACTGACACTCTGATACGGGATGCTGGTGTCAAAAGAGGCAACTTAAACCTCTGTACCACAACACCACTCCTCTCGCCTCTTATGGGGAAAAGCATTTTATTTGAAAGGGTGACAACAGAGAGAGGGATGAAGAGAGTCACTTGCTTTCAAATGAAGGAGAGGGACCCCAGCCTTGGCCTGCCAGGGATCTCTCACTATGATTTGTCCTGGGGGTGAGCTCAGTGAAAAAAAAAAGCACCCGATGACACAGCACATGCTCGTTCCACTCGAGGCCTCCCCTCCCACCAGGCCCTAAGCCCGTGACACCACACCCTTTCCCTCCTGCTGCTTCCTAGTCACTTTTCCAGGTCTAACCCTGGTGGCCCCAGCTCCAGGAAGTCCTCTCTGGTTTCTTTTCTACAGAGTGGACACAAAGCCTGCTCCTTGGCAGGTTCTTATGAGCCAATTGGTCCAGGCCCTGCTCTTTGAGCCCCTGTGGTTGGGCTGGTTCCCTTGTTTCCCCAAACACCCAGACGCTATGTAGGACCTAAATCTCACCCTGTCCCCATCCCACCAGAGAAAGCCATGTGGATGCATGTGGGGTGAAGGGAGGCTGGTCAATGAACTGATATGTCCCCATGCTGTGAAGGGGGGCCAGGGATGACATACACAGCAGGCCAGGGAACCCCTGATGGCGAGGGTCTTGCCTTGCAGAACCGGGAGAAGTACCTGCTGCCATTCCTGTCCCTGCAAATCATGGACTTCCTGCTGTGCCTGCTTACACTACTGGGCTCCTACATCGAGTTGCCCGCCTATCTCAAGTTCGCCTCCCGGAGCCGAGCGGTGAGTATGCAGCCCTGCACCGTGCTGGCGAGCAGAGCCCAGGCCCAGGCAGGTGGCAGGTGGCCAATCATGGGTAAACATCTCCCTGCCGCAGGTGTCCTTGGGCGAGTGGCTGGAGGTCCCCAGACAGGTCCGGATTCACACTCTGCCCACACGTTGCCCACATCTCATCTTTAGTCTTAGAGGCTGAAATAAGGACTGCAGAGTGACAGGTTCTCACACAAGTCCACACTCCCATAGGAATGAACGTGTCCCTTTTCCTGTCTCCACCCCATTTTGTCCCTCCTTGAGGACCAATTTGAAGACAGAAAGAGGGCAACTCAAGTCCATGAAAGAGTGTCCTTGGAGCAAATGTTGTGGCACCTGTAGCTGGTCCAGAGGTCTCCCTGATGATACTGTTTTGTTTGTTTGTTTTTTAATTTGAAAGACAGAAAGAGATATCTTCCATCTCTTGGTTCGCTCCCCAAATGGCTGCATTGGCCAGGGCTGGGCCAGGCAGAAGCCAGAAGCCAGGAGCGTCCTCCTGGGTAAAGGGGCCCCAGGACTGGGTCATCATCTGCTGCCTCCCAGTGCACCAGTGAGGAGCTGGACTAGAAATGGAACAGCTGGGACTCAAACCAGGGTCATATGGGATGCTGGTGCTGCAGGTGGTGGCTCAGTCTGTCATGCCAGAATGCTGGTTCCCTTCACCTCCTGCCCCAAGCTTTTAACCCTTCCCCTGTCCACTGGTCTTGGAGACATGGAGGGGCTGTCTGTCTGGTGGATAGGGTGTGGGCCCAGGAGCAGGAGAGCCCAATTCCAGTCCTGGGTCTGCCACTAGCCCTTGGAATAGACACCTGCATGTCTGTTTCTCTCTGTGGTAAGAGAGTGGCCAATGTCCCCAGCTGAGCCTGTCGCTCAGGTGAGGGCTCCAGGTGTGCCCCACGGCCACCAAACCTTCAGCTGCTGCTTCTCACTCCTCCTCCTTGGCCTTCATCCCTGCCAGGGCCCCTCCAAGGTGCCACTGATGACTCTGCAGCTGCTGGACTTCTGTCTGAGTATCCTGACCCTCTGCAGCTCCTACATGGAAGTGCCCACTTATCTCAACTTCAAGTCCATGAACCACATGGTGAGTCTGGGCCAGAGGTCCCCCTGCCTGTTCACTGCTGTGTGGCCCTAGGCACGTTGGGTCACCTCCTTGTGTCTTAGTGTTTGAGCTAGAAGGCGGAGTCATGAGCAAGTGACCCAAGTTAGAAGGAATGGTTCCAGAAAGAGAGGAAGTGAAGCAGTGCCCTGGCCTTACTCTGGAGCCTGGGCTGTGAGTCACTCAGAGAAATTATTTGTAGGGGTCCCTCACAAATCTGTGGGAATAGAACTACAAGAAAAGCTTATTTTGGAGCAAAAAGGTTTTAAAATCTGTGCATTGATTTTTTTTGGGGGGTAAGGCACATTTCCATGAACTTTTTGAAGATCATTCATATGTGAAAACTGTCCCAGAGGTGGCATCACCCAGAGGCCACCCACTGTTGGAATGCCTGGGGGAGGAGGGGCCTCTCACTGTCCCAGGATCAGCTGCCTCTTAATAGTCAAGAAGTTTCTCTACAGAAGGGCAGGGCTGTGGCCCACGGGCAGCTGCTGCCCACCAGCTGGCCATGGGAAGTGGCTCCCGGAAGTGTCAGGTACACCTGCTTCCCTGGGTTCTCCCTGCCCCAGTCTGCTACCAGGACCTGGGAGGTAGCACCTGCTCTCAAAGGTCATTGTGACCAGTGTGCCAGGGAGAGGAGGTACCATGCTGTGTTACCGTGTGTATGAAGGGTGGGCTTGTCCGTCCTGCATGTAAGGGCAGCCTTGCACCCCCATAGACCTTCATGTGGCTCTGTGTTCTGCAGAACTACCTCCCCAGCCAGGAGGGGATGGTACACAGCCAGTTCATCAAGATGATGATCATCTTCTCTGTGGCCTTCTTCACCGTGCTCATCCTGAAGGTGAGTGACCCCGCCCCACGGCTCCGGGAGCGGGCGGCTGTGGCTGCACTGTGGCTCCGGGTTAGGGATGGGAGTGTGGGTCTCTACGCCCCCTTACCTTGCTAGGCTTCCTTCTCCAGCTCTCCCCAGCCCAGCAAGGAGCTGACTACCTGTGTGTGCAAGCATGTCAGGAACCTAACACATCCTCCCCTGGGGTCTGGGATTTGTGGGGAAGGGGGTTGGTGAGACAAAGCTCTCCATGTGGGAGTGGATCGTGGCTCACCCGTCCATCTCTGCTTGCCGCACCTGAGTCATGCTGTGCCCACCTGCTGAAGGGTAAACTGAGGCCTCAGTCACAGATGTCTGACGGTCAGAGGCAGAGGGAGTCTGATGGGGTGGTCTGGCCCTCATGGTGGAGTCTAGCTTCACGTCGCACATTTGGGAAGTGGTGACACTCACTGGCAGGTATCCCTGCGGGGCCAAGAGGCAGGAAACGAGATGACTCTCAGAGCCACCGTGAGGGTGTTTTGGATCCCACGCCCCAGAGAATCCCGAGGCCACCAGAGGGGCCTGTGGGCTCCAGCCTCAGGGAAGCCATGAGCGGCTCTGTCAGTACCCAGCAAGGTGAGCTTTCCCTCTTGGCCTCTGCCTGGGAAAGCAGCCGTGATCCCTGCAGACTGATAAAACCAGAGTGCTGGGAAGGAGATGGGCAGGGCGGGCAGCCACTGTGTAGCTGTGGGAGCCTTGGCTGCCGTTGCCAGGTGCCGGCTGCCTCCTTGCACCTGTGCCCCTGAGCAGTGTGGGCTCTGAAGTAGTGGCAACCTGGAGAGGAAATTGTGTTCATTCAGTCACTGTCTGTTTGTTTGTTTATTTTTGAGAAAGGAAGAGAGAGAGAGAGCTTCCATCTGCTGATTCACTCCCTTCACTCCCCTGTCTGTAACGGTTGGGCCTGGGTAGGCAGAAGGCAGGAGTTCTGAATTCAGTTTGAGTCTCCAAGTCTCCCAGCGTGACCAGGTCCTTGACCACCACCTGCTGCCTCCCAGGGTGCACATGATCAGGGAGCTGGAGTGGTGCCAGGGGTCAAACCTGGGCATGCAGATGTGGGGTGTGGAAGTCCTGAGTGGCATCCTAACCATCCTGTCAGACTCCTGCCCCCAGAACCTTGCTTGATTGACATTGTCCCCAAGACCCACTGAGCATGCGTGCATTTGTGAGGTGCAGCGAGAGCTTTCCGGGTGAGACCACTGTGGAGTCCCTCTCATGCGTGGCTCTGCCCCACCCCGTCCCTCTTCTGCTCTCCACCTTGCATGTGTGGGGTCCTGCTCCAGCCCCCTTTCTGTTTCGTGGGCTCCCTCCACCTAGGCCTTTGCACCTCATGCTCCAGCGTGGAGCTCTTCTGCTCAGTTCTGCCATCTCTGCTAAGAGAAAGCAGTCTGGTGCCAGCAGAGATTACTGCATCTGCACAATTCTACACGTGCAGGCTCATCCAGAACACAGCCTGCTTGCAGCCGGCTGTCAAGAGGCCCACCGTCAGCGCTGCCTCAAGGGGGTGGGAGTGATCTCAGGAGGCAGGGAGCTCTCCATCCCCAGGTCCCCAGGGGCGGCCAGGCTGGGGCTGCAGTGCTGCTGCTAGGTAGGGCAGGAGGGCAGGTCAGCAGCTCTTAAAAGCTCCTTAGTGGGCAGTGTCTGTGAAGTAACGAAAAGGGCAGTGTCTAGAATACTCCACAAGGAGCTCCCAGCTTGAATAGGATGTGCAGGCAGTGCAACTGGAGCGTGTGGCTTCCCAGGGAGCAGATGGCCGCTGCCCCAGGCCTGCTAGGCAGCAAAGCACAGCTTGGCCCTGCCCTTTTCCAGGTCTACATGTTCAAATGCGTGTGGAGATGCTACCAATTCATCAAGTGCATGAACTCGGCCAACAGGAGTGACTCCAAGGTGCTGCCGAAGGTGAGCTTGACTGGGGGGTGAGATCCCAGCTCCGCCACTCGCTGTCCATGCCACTCTGGGCATGTCTCTGCACGCCGCCCCCCCCAGGCTTTGGTTTCCCTGCTTGGGTGATTTCTTTCAGCTCTGTTAGACTAGGATCCTTGTCCTTCATCCAGCATTTTCTGTTGTGCTCACATCTGTCCCGGGCAGGCAGACGAGGTTGAGGTGCCAGGTGTATTCTGGAGTGAATCCAGACATGGAGCTGCAGTCACAACTTTGTAAGAAACACAGGGACAGTCAGGGTGGCGCCTGGCCTCAGCTGGGAGAGCAGGAAAGCTTTCTGGAGGAGGTGGCATTTGGCCTGATGTTGAATAGCCAATGGTAGCTGGGAAAGGTGGGGGCGATTTCCAGGAAGAGAGGAGAGGGTACCCTAAGAAACAGTTGGTTGGGAAAGTGTCCCTGACTTCACTTGCTAGTGACTCACTTTCCATCTGTAAAATGGAGATGTATTAGTCAAGATAGTTTCGGTGGTGGGTGGTACAAATTCAAGTCAATTTCAGGCCAAAAAAAAAGAGAGAGAGAGAGAAAAGAAAAGGGAGGGGGACTCAGGAACTCATTGAATGTAAAAGCCTTGCATAGTTCTGGCTTCAGCAGGTCTCAGTATGATCTCACCTCACCATCATTTTACTTTCCTGAATGTTCCCTTTTCGGGTAGCCCTTCCTTCATGGTGACAAAACAGCTGCCTAAACCCCAAGGTCAACATCCCTCCCTCCTAATAACCTCAGTAGGAAAAGGACGAGCCTGATTGGACCAGCTTGGGTCACATGCCTCTCCTTGATCCTGTGATGATAGGCAGGGATATGGACTTCTACTCTGAGTGGTTGAGCCTGCTCACGTGTCCACCTGCTGGCTCTTGAGGGGTGGGATCAATTCTTCTCGAAGGCTTTTCCCAAGGAAATTGGTGCCTTCCAATCAAAACAAGGGGAGCTCATGCTGAATTGGCACAGGACTTGGGGGGCGGGTAACTCCTAGTTCATGCCGTTGGTGCTGTCACAGGAAGCCAGCATGTCATGACCCTCCCCTTCCTCACCCTCCTCCTTCTCATTCTGCTGGGGGTGAGGCTTCTGGCCCCTCCCGGCAGTTCTCAACCTTCATCTCTGTCTCCCCCAGGTGGCCCTGCCGACCTACGAGGAGGCCCTGGCTTTGCCCCCGAAAGCCCCAGAGTGGGGCCCCGCACCACCCCCGTACTCAGAGGTGTGACCTCACCAGGACTGGTTCTGGTGCCGGCAGGGGGCGGAGCTGCCGCCTCATCGCTTCTTTGCTTCGATGGCCCCCCGCGGCCTCGGTGGGCCACCTGACTTCAGGACAATCTTCTTGCGTCCCCCTTGGCTGGCCTGTCCCTCCCATGGGGCTGGTGAGCTGCTCGAGACCGGGTCGACCCTCTAGACTGAAGGACTCCATGGGTCTCTTGAGAACTCAGTCCGACAACCCTTGGCTAACTTCCGTTGGCTTCTGGCTCTGGTTCAGGCCGTTGCTGTTCTCAGCCGGGTGTGTTGGGTGGAACAGCTACCAGCCGACTCAGTTTAAGCAAGCAACTAACAAACCCAAACCACACCTGTCATTCAGTAAACTCATTTGCTCAACTAGCAGCCGTTGCTTTCATTTGTCAGTCGCTGTCAGTTTTCATGGTGATGGAATCAGCAGTTAGCCACCTGCCAAATAGACTCGTTAAATCAATTTCTTCAAATGGCCTGCTTTAAACGATTGTGGCGACAGCCAACTGGCATTTAGAATGGTGATAGGAAACATCCAGAGATCAGAAATAAAATGCAATAAAAAAAAAATCAGGTTAGCGCTCAAGCCTTCCATTTTAAACCCAACAACTGACTGCCCGCTCTGCTCCATCTCGTGCCTCTGCGTGGCTGGGTGGTTGTCCGTTCTGGAGCAAACTTGGCCACCCATGTGCCCCACTGGCTGGCTGGCTGAAGTAAATAACAACCACTTCAGTCCTACACTTGTTGCTTCCAGTACACAGTGGGTCAGCTCAGGACCTGCTGTCTTCTGCACTTCCAGTATCTCACCAGCTGCCCCCATGGCCAGTGCGGTCACATAGCAAGGTGGGGGTAGGGGCGTGCAGAATAGGGTCACGTAGTAGCTGCCAGCCTATTCCCCAGGCTTGGACTTTTGGCTGGGACCCAAGGCTTGTGGGCAAGGAGTAATTCAGCCCTGAGATTGGGCATGCCTGTTCGTTGGACTAACTCCAAAGTTGGTTCTGTCCAAGTAGGCAAACCCTTCGTGGGAGTGGACCCCGCCACTGGCTTTTGGCTGGCGTGCTGGCAGGGAGCTTCTGCACAGGCTGGAACCCTGGGGGTAGAGGCAGGTGCTAGCGTGTCTGCCGGGGTGCAGAGGGAGAGTGCTGGGCAAGAGGCTGCCCCAACACCTCTTGGGGGATGTGCTTTGTGTGTGAGGTTTTAATAAAGCAGCAACAAGCTTCTCTCTGACCAGTGTGTTTCCTGACATGTGGGGAGCTGGAGCCTGCTTCCTACTGCCACTCTACAACCACAACCACACACATACACACACACACCCCTGCACTTTCATACGTGCAAAGACAGACTGACTCACTCATGGGCACTTAGGCCCATATATGTATAAGCACACTCAGGAGTATAGCCATGTCAACATACATATGCACACCTGCCTGCACAAATGGGCACACACATGTATTCACCTGTGCACTTAGCCCAGGAACTCCCACGGGCCATGTTCAGTGAGCCCCAATGCCCGCCAAAGCCGATGAGAACTCCACTTTATCTCAGTGTGGCCTGGGGGGCCAGAGGTGGACTCCAAGTGCAGGGAGACCCAATGGGGCCTCAGGCTGTTCCCCGCTGGAGCTGTTGGTTCCGGTGACCCTGGGCCCTGGTAGGCCGGGTGGCAAGGATGTGTTTGGTCACAGCAGTGGACGTGCAAGGGCCACATTGCGATGCACGGTGGCGTGTGGGAGTGGGACACGTGCTCAGCCAGGCCGCTGGCGGGGAGCTGGAGACCAGCAAGATGCTGGGACTGCGGGACAGGAGAGCTCTGTGGCTGCAAGCTTCCCCGGCCACCTTGACCCACGATGGGTGTGTACAGGAAGGAGAGAGCTGCAAGAACCGGACATCCTGGTGAAGCAAAAGCAAGCAAGCAAGCTTGCTACACACACACACGGGCTCAAGACAAATCCAAGGAGGCTGCTTTAGGCGTAGCTGGATCCAGGACGCAAATTCTTTTTTAAAAACAAAAAGATTCATTTATTTTTATCGGAAAGTCACATTTACAGAGGGAAGGAGAGACAGAGTAAGAGCTTCCGTCCACTGATTCACTCCCCAAATGGCTGCAATGGCCAGAGCTGAGCTGATCCGAAGCCAGGAGCTAGGAGCTTCTTCCGAGTCTCTCACGTGGGTGCAGGAGCCCAAGGCTTTGGGCCATCCTTCACTGCTTTCTCAGGCCACAAACAGGGAGCTGGATGGGAAGTGGAGCAGCCAGGATATGAACCGGCGCCCATCTGGGATCCTGGCACACACAAGGCAGGGACTTTAGTCACTAGGCCACTGTGCCGGGGCCAGGACTGGAATTCTTGCTCTCCTTTCATTGCTGGCCTTTCTCTCTCCTGACATCGCAATTGCTGAGCTACCTAGGAGCAAGGTGGCTTGGAAACCCAGTGCTGATTGGGCTGGGATCTGTCCCCGGTCCTGAGAGAGTGAGCCTTGAAAGCCATGCCCAGGAGCACAGACTTACCCAGGCATAGGAGGGTTGGGTCTGGGTTTAGGAAGGGAAGAGACAAAGGCCAGGGGCCCTGGTAGGAGTGACAGTGTCCTGTGGGCAAGCAGCAGGGACGGGGCTGGGGAGGGCCTTAGCTGCCTGCTGGGCAAGCCATACTCGAGCATGGCCAATTTCCTCCTGGACTTTTCTGCTTTTTCTCATGTCAAGCAGTTAAACAATAACTTCAACAGTTTCCATTCCCTCCCTGCCGCCCCCCAACACAAACAGGGTGGGGAGCCAAGGCCAAGAGATATCAAGCTGCTTTCCTGAGGCCACACAGCGTCCTTTATCCTGTCCCCTATTTTGAGTGGAGAGCGGTGAGGCCCCATTCATGGGAGGTCTGGATTCTTGTAATATTCTATAGAAGATGCCCCCTGAGGGATTCCCCCCAACCCAGTGGGGTCTGGGAGTGGGGGTCACGGAAGAGGGCACCAAAGGGCTGTGTGCCCTACAGACCAAGAGACCCCAAGCTTGCTGATGTGGCTCCCTGTCCTTCTTCCCCTCCTTGCCCTGTACCCCTGGCCAGGTGCCAAGGCCCGGGCTGAGCTGTGTGGTGGGATTGTGCCTGTGGCCGGGTGGCTGGGAGGGGAACAGGAAATAGCTGGGCTCAGGGAAGTCCGTGTGGCCGGCCAAGCCAAGCGGGTCTGCCGTCGCCTGGGCAGCCCTCGCTGAGGCCTGATCAATGCCCCGTTTGAGGTTCATACAGGGGGCCTTTGACAGGCCTGGATGGTTTGGGCCCACTAAGAGGGCCTGTGTGAGGGGGGACGGGACAGGAGCTGGCCCCAGGAAGCAGGGCTGCTCAGGAGGCCAGGCAGGTGAGGGTGCCAGGATAGATAGTGGAGAGAAAGGGGCATGACCAAACTCACACTCAGGCAGCCAGCGGGAGAAGCTGGGGCTTCTCTGGGGCTGGGGGGGCTGGGGGGACTGGGGGGATTGGGGGGGCTGGGGTTGAAGCTGGAATGGCCCTGGTAATTGTGGGGGACCTTGCCCAGCATCTCTCCCATGAGCACCCAGCAGCTGTGAGCGGCAGGTGCTGCCCCATGCTGACCCCGAGTTCCCGGGAAGGCACTGGCCCAAGTCACGCATCCATCAAGGGCAGGGCTGGGGTTTGGCTCCAGTTGGCTCACTTGGGTCTGAGCTGTATCTCTGCTCCATTCTGGGCCACCTCATCCCTCCTCCCAGCAGCCCCAACCTCCTGGGGTGCTCATTTCATGCCCATTCCAGGCCTTGAAGGCTGTTAGAGGGCCCTGGTCTGGGAGAGGCCTGGGAGACTGCAGGCTATTCTGGTCCCCTGGAGCTGGTCCCAGAGCAGTGGGGGTTTGGACCCAAAGGGGCTGGGGTGGCTTCTGGGCCCTCTGGCCCTTGGCACAGCCTCCTGCTGCGGCATGCATGCACGCAGTTCCTGAGGGGGCGTTCCCTCCTGGTAGTCTGGGGTACCCGCAGCCATGGCCAACACTTCCTGCCCCTGAGCTGAGCTCAGCCGCGGTGTAGTTTTTCGGCAAGTCTTTGTATTCTGGCCTTTAACTTCAGCTTTGGGGCTTCCAGAGGGCATGTTGCCACACTGTGTCCCAAGGTGGCCACTTGAGGAGGTGACACAGGCCACATCCTGGACCCCAGGCCTGTTCTTCAGGGACCATCCCTTCACCCACAGAGAACCCTCTCACCCCTCCTCCCATTGAAGCCCCTCAGCCTTCAGTGATGCCTCATAGCTCATTCATTCATTCACCCATTCATTCATTCATTCACTTGCGTGTTTGCTCACTTATTCCAGAATGTTCCTGAATGCTAGGTCTGGGGCTGTTATGCAGGAAGTTTGAAATGAGTGCCTCTGTGTGAGAGGAGCCTAAGGAGAACAAGACAGCAATAGATGTCCAGAGGCCCACCTCGGACGCAGCCTGGAGTTAGACCCCATGAGGCCGTGCCTAGATCCCAACAGTTTTACAGGTGGCCCGGCCTTACCTCCCATGAAAGCTCTCCAGTGAAATCCTCTGTGCTCGGCACCAAATGGGTTACCCAGCCTGATGACCCTGGGCTGTACAACCTTCACAGCCTTCCTCCTCGGGGAAGTGCTTCCACCTGCTGCCAGGTGAGTGTGTGTGTGTGTGTGTGTGTGTGTGTGTGTGTGTCTGAAACCAGAGAGGAGCATCAGCCAACTCACTCGGCAAATGCTTTGTCCTGATGGAGCGAGAAGAGGAAGGAGAAAGGACTGAAAGAACTGGATGCTGTTCCCCAGAAGCCCCAGCCTGGGCACAGACCTCAGCTGGGCTCTCAGCTCTTTCCAGAGCCGCCCGCCTTGCCCACCAGGTGTCCTCTCTCCCTTGCACCACGTCCCCTGGCTTTCCCCGGTCTGAGCAAGTGGGCGGGCACTCTGCTGCCACCTGCTCTAATGCCCTGCCCTGTTCAACCCCGCTACTTGATCACCGCTACTCTAGGTCTCCCAGGTGGATTCTTTGTGGCATGAGACAAGAACCTTCTCCCACCCACTTCAACTAACAAGAGCCCTCCTGTCTCTGCCCTCATGGGCGTGGCGAGAGCAGGTGCGGGAACCCGGCAGCTCTGCAGGTTGGATGCTGGTTGTGGGGGCGGAGAGGTTGAGAGGGAAACATGGGTATTCTGTAAGGGTTTTTGGAAGAATGTTTCCAGCAATGCTGCCTACAAACCTGGGGTGGCACTCGGAAAATGCTGCTGTACAGGCAGCAGGGTCCCCGGGACTGGCTCTGAGGATGCATCTGCCAAGAGGAAGGGGATGAGACTGGAAGCGGGTCCCAAGGGCTCTGTCATCAGCATGCTAGGGAATCTGCCCTCGGGGTGCTGGGTACTACCATTGATGGTTAGTGAGCACAGCTCAACATTCTAGAACCTCAGTGAGCTTCTTGCAGACAGAAAGGGAGATGTGAATGTTGCATGGACGGGCTGGCTCAAGTCCCCATGACAGGCAGTGAGCCAGTGCCTGCTTACCAGGCCCTAGGGTTGCTCTGGGAGGGAGGCGTGGGGTCCATTGCAGGCCAGATCCTGACAGCAGATGAGGGGAGAAGTGTTCCAAGAGCATGGGCTGAGGCAGTGGTTGGGGGGCTGGGGGTTGGGGGACCCACAGGGTTGGGGCACACCAGGCAGAGAGAGGAAGGGCTGGGGTAGTAGTGGCAGAGGGAGATGGTGCTGCCAGCTAAGAGTTGGGGACCCAGGAGAAAGGGTGACAGGGTATGTGTTGGGCTTGGTGGTGTTGGGTGTCACCTTGCTGGTGGGATGCAGATTACAGGGAATAAAGTACAATGGGGGTGCAGATTACAGTGGGGACGTGGGCGCTGCTGTGTCTTTTAATTCCCAGGGGAGGGTCACAGTGGCTGAGATGCCAGGTGGGCTTGGAAGTGCCCACCTAGTTGCAGGACATTCAGCTGACCTGTGGCCTGCCTGGACACCCTGTCCCAGGGGTGTACTCGTTTGTGCCCCTGTTGACATTGGAAGCAATTTTCCACCCTCGCACTTCTTGGGTGACCACAACAGCGATCTGAGCATCAGAAGTTTTGGTGGGCCCGGTGTCTGGGAAGTGAAGGGTGAACTGGAGTGCCGGCTGCTATTTGCATGGTGTCCTGTGTGCTTCCTGCTTCTTCGTGGGTTTTGCTGTGAGTCTGAGACAACACAGGGGGCAGCAGCCTGAAGAGGAGAGAGGTGCCCAGGTCTGGGGGCAGAGTCTCCCCTGTTCATATTAAATTCAGAGCTCAGATATATATATTTTTAAAAGACTTATTTATTTTTATTGGAAAGTCAGATTTACAAAGAGAAGGAGAGACAGAAAGATCTTTCATCTGCTGGTTCACTCCCCAAGTGGTCAGAATGGCCGGAGTTGAGTCAATCTGAAGCCAGGAGCCAGGAACTTCTTCTGGATCTCCCATGTGGGGGCCGGGTCCCAAGGCTTTGGGTCATCCCCTGCTGTCCTCCCATGCCACAAGCAGGGAGCTGGATGAGAAGCACAGCAGGCAGCATATGAATGAGAGCCTATATGGGATCCTGGTACATGCAAGGCAAGGACTTTAGCCACTAGGCTACTGTGCCAGGCCCAAGCTCAGATCCTTTTTTTTTTTTTTCAAGATGTATTTATTTATTTGAACAGCATGGTTAGAGAGACAGAGAGGGGGAAACAGAATGAGTGAGAGAGCATTTTTGCATCCACTGGTTTACTCTTCAAATGGCTGCAATGGCTGAGTCTGGGCCAGACCGTAGTCAGAAGCCAGGAACTCCTTCCAGGTCTCCCACGTGGGTGCAGGCCCCAGGCACTTGGACCATCTTCTGCTGCTTCCCCGGGTGCATGAGCAGGGAGCAGGATGGGAAGCAGAGCAGCTGGCGATCCAGTCAGCTCAAATGTATCTTCATGCAGATTCTGCTCCAAGCTCTGCAGCTCCAGCTGGTCGCCGCGTCCTGCCTACACCTGCCCCACCGATCTGGGGCCTGCTGCATGGAGCTCAACCGTCCAAGTCTCCAAAAACAGGTTCGTGCCTTTGACTCCCACAGTTGAGGAAGTTTGGAATTCCCCAGGCATGCCTCAAAATCTGGCGGGTAAACCATCGGCAACTGCAACATAATTTTGGGTACACGATACGGGAGAAAAACATTGATTAGTTTTGAATTGATTAAAGTACCTGTTGGAATAAATCTGGCTGTCATGTCAGGAAGAGGACAGGGGCTCAGGTGTAGGTGGTGTGTGAGAGAGGAAGGCAAGGAAGGGGCAGAGGCCAACACCAACCGCGTTCACCAGCAGGTGCCCTCGGTGGGCAGCGGGGGCTCCCTCCAGGGGACCTTCTGAGGACTGGGAGGACCACAGCTCGGAACTGTCGCGTCCAGGGCGTGGGGAGGCTGCTTTGTCTGAGCCTGCCCGTGAACAGTGTTACGCACCTAGGTGGCTTTGCTCACCATCACTGTCCCTGAGACCCACCTGCTGTAGCTGTGGGGAGCTGGACCCACGGGGTGACAGGGGTGTCTGAAAAACCAGCAGAGGGGTCAACCTGGTCACCATAGAGTTCCGAGGGTGGCCCTCAGCCCTGTCCCCTGAGTAGGCTCCCTCACAGGAAAAGCTTACGGCCTCCCCCAGGAAGGTGTGGGGGTTACCTGTGGCCCTAGAAGTCACCCAGCAAGGTAGAGAGGAGGAGACAAAGAGGACAGAGAATCTTCCACCCTCCGGTTCACTCCTCAGATGGCCACAACAGCCAGGGCTGGCACAGGCTGCAGTTGGAGGCTGGGGACTCCAGGTAATCCACATGGGTGGCAGGGACCCAGCGCCCTGGGCTGTCTCTGCAGCCTCCCGCAGTGCACAGGAGCTCCCAGATACGTGATGTGACTGACAGGTCCCACCTGCCGGCCCTAGAATGTCTGCTTTGAACAACCTGCCCAGTGCCAATCTTAGAGATTTTTCTCGGAGCCCCTAAAGACAGTGCCCATTCCAAGGGTGACTGTGGGCTGCTGCTGAGGGTAGTTCGTCCTAAACCACACAGACGGAGTCCCGTAGAACCCGCGCTGAGAGTGGGGCTGGTCTGGGCCCAAGAGGGACGCAGACCCTGCTCTAAGCTTTGTGCACCAAGAGCACTGCACTGGGAGTCCTGGACCCTGCCCGAGTCCTGCACCGAGCAGGTCACTGATGCTCCGACACAGAGCGCTAATGGCTTTAAGCTTCTGAGGCCCTTGGGAAGACTCGGGTCAGGGTGTGGACTGTTTGTTTGCCTCATGAGCCACCCGACCACAAAGCCCCTCTGTGCGTCTTTTCCTTTGGTCCACGCCGGACACACTGTCCCTGGTGTTGGGTCCTGGGCAAAAATGTTTCTCATTTAAAAAACACAAATATTTGTTTTCTTTCCTCAATGGCTCTGCTGCACTTCCAGGGCTCCTCCCCAACCCTGGCCTTGAAATGTTGAACTTGATCTTCGGGGGGTGGGGGGGAAAGCCCGAGCTGCTGCTGAGAACTTAACCTGTGGCTCTGCTAGTGAGGGTGGCAGCCGGCCCAGAGAAGGCGCCTGTGTCCCATCCGGGAGGCCACAGACCTGCCATTCAGACGTGGGGCTCAAAGAGCCGTTTCACGGGTGCAGCTGCCGCTCCTGGCCAACACGGCGGGTGTGTCCTGCCCAGCCCATCCAGGAGGGGGATCAGCTCCTGACAACGGCCCACCATGGGCAAGGCTGCAGGGAGAGTACGCTGGGCACTGTGGCTGACCGCTGTGTGACCCCGATGGCTGGAGGGGAGCTGGAACGTGCTGGTCACAAGGGTTGCTTTTAAGGTCATCCATTGGATCACCACCACGTGCACTGTGCCTGGCTATGTGCTGGAGCCCATGCAGAAGGCAGGTGGAGCATCCTGGGCAGCGGAGGGAGCTGGACATGACGGCAGCCCTGACCCCAGTGGCAGGTGCACTGTGCCAGCAATGGCAGGGAAAAGGCCGTCAGCGGCAGTGGCTGGGTTTCCGGGCTCAGGAGGACTGTGAATCAGGCACCAATGAAGTTTGAACGAGAAAGTCAAAGGGAGGCACGTTTACAACTTCCTTTCCCGCTAGTGGGGCACAGGGGCTTGGCTCTGTCCCTCAGTGGGCTGGGTAATGTCAGGTCTGCTCACAAACCTCTCGGAGCCATCTGACCAACGGGCTCAGCTCTGCGGGGTTCACAGACTTGGAGGGAGTACAAAGGAGACAGGGCATGGTCACAGCTGAGGACAGCAAAACGGCTGCTGGTTCCATTGTACCCGGCAAGCACGTGTCAAAGCTGCCCGTGCGTTTCCCTTCGATGGAGTGCCACGGACGGGAAACGCCCAGCGCTGCCTGCTCTGCGCTCCCAGCGTCTCCTCCCAGCATCCCTGCGGGGCAGGCCCAGAGCTTCCCGTGACTCCAAGTCACACTGAGAGTCAGACGGTAAGACATCACATCACAGCCCGCAGCCAAGCCCGGCAACCTGGCTCCCAACCACCCTCCCGTGTGGCCAGCACGGACCCAGGCCCAACGTGCCTCATTTTTTTTTTTAAAGATTTATTTTTATTATTATTATTTTTTATTGGAAAGGCGGATATACAGAGAGGAGAGACAGAGAGGAAGATCTTCTGTCCGATGATTCACTCCCCAAGTGAGTGCAACGATTCACTCCCCAAGTGAGTGCAACAGACGATGCTCTGCCGATCCGAAGCCAGGAGCCTCTTCCAGGTCTCCCACGCGGTGCAGGGTCCCAAAGCCTTGGGCCGTCCTCGACTGCTTTCCCGGGCCACAGGCAGGGAGCTGGAAGGGAAGCAGGGCTGCCGGGATAGAACCGGCGCCCATATGGGATCCCGGGGGTGCAAGGTGAGGACCTTAACCACTGCGCCACCGCGCCGGGCCCCAACGTGCCTGATTTCTGCTGGGCGGAGTCGGAAGGATGATGGAGTATCCTGGTGGGTGGCCCCGCACTGGACAGCAGCTGGGGAGCAAGGGGGTCTGTGGAGATCAAGGAGGGGAGACTGAGGTTGGAATTCTGGGGCCGAGGGGGGAGCAGTGTTGGGTTTAGGACGAAGGTGCAGGACTAGGGCAAGGCCGCTGGACGCAGGGCTCCCTGGGCTGGGGTGGTAGCTCCCCCTTGGCCTGGGCTCCCACCCCTGGGGGAGCCGCCCCTCGCACCCGAGACTTCCTGAATTCCAGGCGTGGCTTTGGCTGCTTCTGCAGGCAACCGAGCCCTTGTGGCGGCGGTGGGAGGCGGGGAACCTCTGCCTCACACACACCTCCATTCAGCCAGACCCCACCCCCAAGGCGCAGGGCGGGGGGCTGGGGCCAGCTGCCCCCACGTCAGTGTGGGGGGGCATCTGGGCAGGGAGGTTGATAAGGCCGGGACCCCGCGGGCCCCAACCGTGCCGCCTGCTCTGCCCGTGCTGCCAGAACCATGAGGCTTGTACTTTGCAGCCTGCTGCTCCCGCTGCTACTCCAGGTCCCAGGCAGCCTGGGCCTTGCCCCCCAGGCCAGAGGTGAGGGGTTTGGGGAGGATATGGGCGGGGGGCAGGGGGACACTGGCTGAGTGGCCCCAACCACCCAGATGGGCCGAGATTCAATGAAATCCAAGACGGAAAGAGGGCGGGGCAGACATAGGAGCACATACCGTGAAGCTGGGGGAGTCTAACAGGGGCCTCCAGGATGGGACACTGTATGGGGACCATGGATGGGACATTGCTGGGGCCTTCTGGAGCTGCCGAGTGTAGGCTGAGCAAACACAGACCTGGGAGCCCAGAGTGTGGGGTGTGCTCGGGGAGGCCCCAGCCTGGGTTTCAGCCTTGGGTACTGAACTCCAGAATAGCCAGCTCTGCAAGGTGAGGCTGGGGAGAGCAAGACACAGCCTCGTGCCTCTGGACTCCCGGTCGTCTGTTCCAGGGGTGCCCAGTTCTCCCTCCCTCTCTCAGTGGGAGGACTGTAGAGCCAGCTGCCAGGGGACTCCACAGTCTCTCCAGGACCAGCCCAGGGTACTGAGTCTGGGGGTTGGGGGTGCATCCCCGAGTGCCTTCACCTTCCTGCTGTCCGCAGCCACGCTGGGAGCCACTCTGCTCTGCCCAGAATCAGTGTAAGAGGGGAAGGAACGGCCTCGTACTGAGCCTGACCTGGGATAAAAATTCTCCCCATTGGGCAGATGAGCAAACAGAGGCTCAGAAAGGCACAGCGATTGCCCGGGGCTCTAGGGTGTCTGAGTCAGGATTTGAACCCAAGCCTGCTTTGCTCCAAGCCCATGAACTGCCCGACAGTTGAGGGTCTGGAGGGCTGTGGTTCATGGGATGGGGGCTGTGTGCCTGTCTTGGCCACACTGCTGTGCTGGGGGTGACCACTTGGGACTGCTGTGCCTTCTTCCTGCCCTTTGACACCAGCCAGCAGGCTCTGCCAGGCTGAGCAAGCCCCTGGTGAGGCCCACCTCCGGGTGTGCCTTTGGGGGCACTGCTTTCGCCCTCATGGATTTGGAGGGCCTGTCTACCCTGGGCAGTGCCCTTGCACCCGGTGAGGAGCAACAGTGGCCCCTGTCTCTGGCAGCAAGTCGGGGGGTGGGGACTTTGAACACCTGCCAGGTGCGCAGCCCTTGCTGACCACTGGCATCACCTGTGCCAGGATGTGGCTCTGCTGCTCTCCCCTGGGGTAGAGCCATGACTCAGCCTCTGGGAACTTCTTTGCATGAGTAACCACACCCAGCCCTCTCCAGTCATGCCTCCTGGCCCCCCACAGCTGCTCCCCTGACCTCGCCCCCTGTCCTTTGCTGTCCCCCCCCCCCCATGTCCCTCCCAGGACACCTGTGCCGGACGCGGCCCACGGACCTGGTGTTTGTGGTGGACAGCTCTCGCAGCGTCCGGCCGGTGGAGTTTGAGAAGGTGAAGGTATTCCTGTCCCAGGTCATCGAGTCGCTGGATGTGGGGCCCAACGCCACCAGGGTGGGCGTGGTCAACTATGCCAGCTCCGTCAGGCAGGAGTTTCCGCTGCGGGCCCACAGCTCCAAGGCTTCGCTGCTGCGGGCTGTGCGCCGCATCCAGCCGCTGGCCACGGGCACCATGACAGGCCTGGCCATCCAGTTCGCCATCACCAAGGCCTTCAGCGATGCCGAGGGTGGTCGTGCCAAGTCCCCTGGCATCAGCAAGGTAGGCCCACCCAGCCCTGCTGGGACTGCTCCCCAACCATCTTCAGACACCTGCTCCAGGCGCGCACCTAACTCCCCACAGCACCCAGTGAGGTTGTCTCCTGAGAGTGAGGGCAGCTGAGGGTCCAAGGGGATTGGTCATCAGCCAGAGGTTGCCAGCAGCACGGGGCTGAGTTGAAATTTGAGCTCATGTCCTGGTGGGTGCTGGGCTGTGTTGCTGTAACGAACCTTGGCTGTCCACTAGCCCGGGTTCCCTGGAGGTCTGGATGCTGATATGATGGGGCAGGGGGTGTGGTGGGGGTAGTGTCCTGCAGCCGTGCAGCTCTGCAGGAGTGCTTCACTGGTCCTCAGTCTGTCCACCTGTAGAATGGGAGCCTCCATAACCCCTTCCCAAGGCACTGCTGTGAGGACTGAAGGCAGCAGATGCTCAGAACAGGCCATTTCTGAGAGCCCGGGTCGGCGATGGCAGAAGCTGGAGACCACAGAGATGGGGCCTGGGGAGGTGGAGCCACAGCCCTGGAAAGTAGACTCGGGCCACAGCAGGTGGAGCCCCGGCCCGTAATGCCCCAGCCAGCGAGGGCTCAGATTTTTTTCTGGCCTTGCTCTCACAAGCCTGTTTTCTGGGTGCTCAGCACGAGACTCTGAGGTGGGGTCAGATGTCCCCTCCCTGTGTGGTTCCCTCCCACTGGCTCCTATACAACCCACCACAGCCCTCCTGAGTCTGCTGCCTGCCAGGGAATGGCCCCCTTCTTGTGCCCCTCTGCCCTCAGCTTTGAGCACAAGCACGAGTCAGCAGCTCCCCCATTTTACAGACCTCTCAGAGCCAATCAGTTCCTCCAAGGCAAGGCAAAGCAGCCTGGGGTGGGAGGGCCAGAGCTCCCCTGGAGAGGTCCCGACAAGGGCCACCGGCACTCTCCATCCTGGGCTGTGACTCGGGCAGAGGCCTGGGCAGTGTGGCAATGGGAGGGGGGTATGAGCAATAGGTTACCCACCCCAAGGTTGTCAGTGCCAGGAGCCCAGGGCGATGACATCAAAACGAACCTTTGCCCGTTGCTGGCCGGCACTGAGCAGCAGGGGCCTTATCATCAGCCCTGTTCCAGATGGAGAAACTGAGGCAAGAGCAAGGCGATCTGACTTGCAGGTCACTGGGGCCAGGGTCAGGCCAGGGCCGAGGGCGGACCTAGACCCCGCGGGACTTCCTAGGGCACAGAGCCCTGTGGAAGGGGCTCCCTGCATTCTGCGGAGTGGAGGAGTGGACGGAGGAGAGCGGCATTCCACTGAGCGGCGCTCGCGGCCGGCGCGGTCAGCAGCACCATTCGCTGGTCTCTGCCGCCCTCCGGTGGCTGCAGCGCGGAACTGCACGCTGCGGGCGCTCCGGCTCCTGCTCCGCCGCGCGTCGGGGCGGGGAGGCGGCTCGGGGCGGGGAGGCGGCTGGGGGCGGGGAGGGCGCGCCGCCGTCCGGCCCCTGGAGGCCCCGTCGCGCAGCCGGCCCTCAGGCGCGGCTCCGGTGCCGCAGGTGGTCATCGTGGTGACGGACGGGAGGCCCCAGGACAGCGTGCGGGACGTGTCCGAGCGGGCCCGGGCCAGCGGCGTCGAGCTGTTCGCCATCGGCGTGGGCGGCCGCGTGGACAAGGCGACGCTGCGGCAGATGGCCAGCGAGCCGCAGGACGAGCACGTGGACTACGTGGAGAGCTACAGCGTCATCGAGAAGCTGTCCAAGAAGTTCCAGGAGGCTCTCTGCGGTGCGCGGGGCGGGGCCGCCGCGGGGGCGGGGCCAGAGGGGGCGGGGCCGCCGCGGGGGCGGGGCCAGAGGGGCGGGGCCGCCGAGGGGGCGGGGCCGCCGAGGGGGCGGGACCCGAGAGGGTGCCGGGGCGGGACCAGGGCGGGGGCGGAGCCTGAGCGGGTGTCGGGGCGGGGTCGGGGCCTGGGCGGGGCCTGAGAGTGGGCGTCAGGAGTGGGGCGGGGCAGGGGCGGAGCCTGAGCGGGTGTCAGGGCGGGGCAGGGGCGGGGCAGGGGCGGGGCGGGGGCGGGGCGGGGGCGGGGCGGGGCCGGGGCGGGGCCTGAGACAGGCCCTCAGGGTTAGGGTGAAGGTGGACTCCCGGGCGCCTCAGGGCTGGCCTGGGTAAGAGCTGAAGCGGAGAGTAGCTGCGTGGGCAGGGCCAAGGTCGAGGGAGAGACAGGGCATCCGAACAGGTTCCTTGTAAGTGCCCCGTGAGATAACAAGGTATAACGCTCAGCGTGTGACACTGAACAAGCATTTGTTCAGCGTCTTGTATGCGCTGTGGGATAAGAGGGTGACTGAAACGTTAAAAATGCTGCCCCTGGGGCTCCTCCCGTGTGGGAGGGATGTTTTATCACTTTCCTCAGCTGTAGGGACGCCAGCCCCAGCCTGGGACTCGGGGGGCCTCACCTTTCACTGGGTGTCCACCCGACAGTGAGGGCCTCTTGGCGGAGGGGCCGGGACCCTGTGACTGCGAGCCCTGAGCCCCTCGTCTCCCCGCAGTGGTGTCAGACCTGTGTGCCACGGGCGACCATGACTGCGAGCAGGTGTGCCTTAGCTCACCAGGCTCCTACACCTGTGCCTGCCACCACGGCTTCACACTGAACAGCGACGGCAAGACGTGCAACGGTCAGTGGGCTGTGCCCAGGTCCAGTCAGCCCTGGGAATGGGAGAGCGGGGCGGGGAGGGAGTCCTGGCCCTGGGTCACTGCCTCATGGGGGGACTCCCTGCTCTGCAGCCTGGCGAGCAGACTGGCGTCTGGTGTCTGCTGTCCTTTTTCATCCTTGGGTGAGGGGTTTGTGTGGGTCTTCAATTCAAATCTCGGTGCTTCTGCTTCCGGGCACTGCCCTAAGACAGGGCCAATTACCCTGGTGCTAGAGAGGGAGTTTCGAGGACACGGAGGCAGGACCCTCACCGGGGCCAGGTGTGAAGTGGGTGCTCAGCTGGGGGGTCGGGATGGGTGGCCATGTCCCTAAACATCTTCCATCTGCATATGTGTCCTCTCTCTAGTGTGCCAGGGGGGTGGTGGCAGCTCAGCTACCGACCTGGTCTTTCTCATCGACGGGTCCAAGAGCGTGCGGCCGGAGAACTTTGAGCTGGTGAAGAAATTCATCAACCAGATTGTCGACACGCTGGATGTGTCGGACAGGCTGGCGCAGGTGGGGCTGGTGCAGTACTCGAGCTCGGTGCGCCAGGAGTTCCCGCTGGGCCGCTACCACACCAAGAAGGACATCAAGGCTGCGGTGCGAAACATGTCCTACATGGAGAAGGGCACCATGACGGGTGCCGCCCTCCAGTACCTCGTCGACAACTCCTTCTCTGTGTCCAGCGGGGCCAGGCCCGGGGCCCAGAAGGTGGGCGTTGTCTTCACCGATGGCCGGAGCCAGGACTACATTAATGATGCAGCCAAAAAAGCGAAGGAGCTTGGTAGGTACTGCCTGCTTGGTCCCTGGATCCCAGAGGGGTCCCAGGAGCGCAGACCACCGGGGACTTGTCCACTCTGTCCCCTGGTCAGCGCCCTGAAGCCGGTGGCTTTGCTCTGGGAGGGATGCTGCTCTGTCAGTGATGACTGTGCTGGGCTCCAGGAGGAGGAAGGGGCTTGGTGCTTGTTTTTGGGGAAAGGTGTGGGGGGTTCTTGGCGGCTGGGAATGTTGAATCCCAGGAACATCCCAGTTGTTGCCAGGGGGAAAGCCATCAAGTGGCTAGTGTGGAGGGTCCCTTGAAGCCCTCAGCTCGAGGCTCCTAGCTGGAGGAAGTGAGGGTCGGTACAGAGCTGGACACGCGGCAAAACTTCACTATAAACACTGTTGTGGCTCCTCCTCCCACCCCGGCCCGGGGCCTGCAGTTTTAGTGACCCTGGGGATGGTCAGCCCAGCTGCTGCCTGTCCTCTTGCCAGCTTAACCCCTTGGGACTCCCGCCTCAGGCTTTAGGATGTTTGCCGTGGGCGTGGGCAACGCCGTGGAGGATGAGTTGAGGGAGATCGCCTCGGAGCCCGTGGCCGAGCACTACTTCTACACAGCCGACTTTAAGACCATCAGCCAGATTGGCAAGAAGTTGCAGAAGAAGATCTGCGTGGGTGAGTGAGGCGGGGAGCTGGCTGGCAGCCACGGAAGGGGCAGGTGGGCTGCCCTCCCCGCTCCCCGCCCACCCAGGTCCTGGCAGACAGACAAGGCTCGCTACAGGAGTGGCAGCTCCTAGTACTTTCCAAAGATGACACCATTCACTCCCAGTTAGCCGGAATCCCATCCCATTTTACAGATGGGAAAACCAAGGGCACAGGGGTAGGAGGAGCTAGGACCTGAACACTGTCCCCTCCTTGTGGCTTCATCCTGGTACCACGGGATGGGCTCCAGAGGCAGACAGGCCTGCGTTGGCGTCTTTGCTTTGACACCGATGGCCACCCTTGGTTCCTTTTTGGAGCCTTTAGGTGCCACATGGATGAGGAGTGCCTACTGCCCCCTGCCACAGAGACCCTTGCAGTGCCAACTGTGTGGTGGGTCCTTGTCGTCCCTTGACAGGACTGGGAGGGGGTGCGGGGAGAGGCTGACGCTGTTACCGCCCACTCCTGGAGCCTTCCCAGCTGTGGCCCCCAGAGCAGGGAGCCCCCTGCCCGACCGAGCAGCTGCTCAAAGCAGTTTTGTCTTCCCACTCTGCATCCCCCGCAGAGGAAGACCCATGCGCCTGTGAGTCCATCGTGAAGTTCCGAGCCACGGTGGACGAGCTGCTGAAGTCTGTAAGCAAGAAATATATCCTTTCTCCGAGTCTCTGTGGGCAGCCCACGGGACCCGGGGCTGCGGGATTGGGATGGGGGACAGGCTCTTCTTCCCTGCCTCTTGTGGGGGCACCCTGGGTGCTGGCCAGATGGGCTGGTGTCACTAAAGCTGGGGCTGCTTGGGGGAAACCGAGGCAGAAGCCAAGCTCTGGGGCCTTTTTTTTTTCCTGCTAAGAGTCACTTGGATATTAATGACATCATTCGCGGGCCACACGAAGTGCACCCTTAAAAACGAGCCTGCTGTACTCCTATTGGTTTTCCAGTCCTGCCTATGGTTGCCTTGGCAGGGCCAGCCCCGCGATTCACAGGCCTCACACAGCCCACCGGCTGGACGTCACGCACGCCTGCCAGGGTCTGGGTGAGCTCTGGTGGATTTGATACCTTCTGAGGTGACAAGACTGACGCCGGTCTCTGCCCAGAGAAGGGGCTTGGTCCCATGGGCTGAGCCAGGACAAGGTGGGGGCCAGCAGGGTCCCCTGGCAGAATGGGGCTATCGTGTTGGGGAAGCACCTAACAGAGCAGGTGGCTCGGTTTCACGTTTCTGCACTGGAAACGTGAGAGAACCTTCTGGAACAGGGTCTGTTGCCACGGAAGAGAGTTGGGCTGCAGGTAGGGGGCTCTGGCTGGTCTGCACTTGTCCTTAACTTCCCTTGCACTGGAAGCTGTAAGCAGGCGGCTGGCTGTCCTGGAGAACAGAATTGTCTAGGGGTGTGTGGTACCTGGCCTAGCCTCGCCTCTGCACCTGCCCAGCGCAAGCCTGGCTCTGCAAGCCCCGTGCGTGCCCCCTCTGCATCCTGGAGTGTAGTTTAGCTCTGTGGTGGTTGTGCGTGGGGCTGGGGAAGGGCAAGCCTGGGAGCCGCAGCGGCTTCCTGGGGGTCTCCACCAGACTGGGAGAGTGTGTATGTGTGTGTGTGTGTGTGTGTGTGTGTGTGTGTGTGTGTGTGTGTGTATGCACGCACACACCTGAGGACAGGTGTGTGTCTACCAGCAAGAATGTGTGTGCACCAGGGAGACCTCAGGGGCGAGTGGGACAGAGTCTGCGTTTGCAATTGTTTCCCTCCCATCAAAAGCTTAATATATTCCTGTTTTTAGTTAGCCCGTTTCTTGACTCCAAGTGCTGTGAATGCCCCTGGTGACAAATGATCAAACGTGGTTTAATTGGAGTCTGAATGGGATTTGGGGCATTGTGGTGACTGGGGCACAGGACAAAGGGTTGGCGAAGCTGATCTTGTTTCATCCTGCTAGGAACCATGTCTGGGACAGGCTTAAATCATACCCACTTTGCAGAAAGGAACACTGAGCTTCTATGTGATACAGCAGCTGGCTTAGCAGGGGGTCAGTTGGAGAGGAAAATGGGGTTGGAGATGGAGGGCAGGGGCACCAGTTGGAACTCATGTGTCCATTCATTCATTTGCTCAGACACCTCATTCTCCAGCATACTATGTGTCGGCGGTGGAGCAGTGCTGGCCTAGGAGGCAGACACAGACCCTGCCCTTACCCTCATAGGGATTACTTGTGCAGATGCCAGCAGACACATGCCAGCTGGAAGCTCCGTGGGTTAAGGTTGGGTCAGGGGTTTGAACTGCTTCAGCCTGGGCTGGCCCAGGGTTCCTGCTGGGGACCTCTCAGCCGTTTCCTTGTGCATCAGTACTGTCACTGTGTCCTCAGCACACATGGCTGCAGGGAGTGCCAGTCACACGCCGAGACCCCACCCATACCCCCAGACCCCACTCGGAGCCGGAGCCGTGCAGCCCCTATGCAGCCTTTGGGAACCATTTCTGTTGAACAAAGCAATGGCATTTACACCTGAGTGCTTGTTAGAGGCTTTTACAAGCAGCTCAGACCGTCCCAAGAGACCTTTTTGGCAGCTGTGCCAGGAATCAGCTGAACAGCACTAACCATGCCCAGGAGCCACATCAGGGTGATGGCATGGCTACACGAGTCCAGCTCAACCATGACACAGCCACTGCCTCCTACACCTACTCCAGAAACCTGTCTTTCTCTGGGCCAGGTCCAGAGCTGTGCACGAAAGCTTCTTGCTTACAGTCCCTGTATGGTGACTGCTCAGCTCAGCCCAGGCTACCTTTCTTTGAGGTTACTTGCTCCCCGACTCCCTCATGGCGTGGGGCAGGAAGTTGCAACCATGCTGATGCAATGCCCGTGGGTGGATACCTGGTCCAGTGTTCCTCTTCTGGGAGTGTGGATGAGGAGACCCCAGCTTTCAGGCTGGGATGCTAGAGCGTCCAGATAACCTAACAGGTAGGGACTGGGCAGGGGTGGGGGTGAGGGTGGGGTGGGGCGCAGCTGTCGTTGGGAAAGATGGTGAGAACATTGGCTGGGCTGCAGACGATGCTCCTGCTTAAAGGTGTCTCGGCGAGTTTGTGTCAAAACCTGGCCCAGCACATACAGGTTCAAAATCACCACCTCTCACTCTCCCGATTCTAGGGGGTGACAAGGCTCAGGGGAGTGGTTCTTCTGCTCCCTAAGCTCCAATCTAATTGGCAGGCACTGCAGACGTCTGTATCTGGACACCCGGCATGGTCCACTTACCTGCTTGCAACCTTGGGTTCTTGGTGGAGTTGTGTGCAAGGCTGATTCATTCTTCTGTCTCTCTCCGGGCTAAAGTGAGCTCTCTTGCCGGGGAACCAGACTTCTTACGAGGCAGGACAGGGCTTCCAAAAGCTTCTTAGGTCCAAGCCACCTCATGGACAGAATGTTACTGTCCCTGCATTTGGTTGGCCAAGGTAGTGGTCACTTAGCCTTCACTCAGCTGTCCTTCACTCAGCTGTCCTGGTTCTCCTGGGAAATGACAGAACAGCTCCAGGACCCTCCCTCTGCCCCTTGGTGACGGGCAAGGCCCTTCCCTGTCTGCATCCCACATCCTCCAGCCATGGAGACGAAATCCTAGCCCCTTCACAGGGTTGGATGAGATGGTGAGTGGGGAGCATTCATACAGTGCCCCCTGCACTGGTGCCCAGAATGAAGATGGCACATGGCTGCTACGTGGGGGATACCCACACCCGTTGGTCCCTCAACAGCTTCCTGGTCCTCTGAGCTGGTGCCGCCACTTGTCCTCCTGGGGTTTTGCCTCCCAGGGGCACCTGTTATCTGCTAGGGGTGGGGGCCATCCCAGAGCATGCACTGCAGAGTTCGTGGCCCTCCTGTGGGAGCTGAGCCCACCTATTTCTGGTAACACACCCCCTGATTCTGCCTGCTTCTGGGGGCGAGTACCTTCACCAGGAGGCATAGAGGATGACAGCCATTCTCTGGATTGAGCAGAGCCAGGCTGCGTGTGCCAGAGCTCAGGCAGGCAGGGTGTGAAGGGTGGGAAGAGTGTGCTAGCCTCTGGGACATCACTCTGTTACGCAGCAAATGCTTGTAGCTCGTGTAGATCAGACCTATGCTGGCTGCCAGGAGTGAAATGGAGTTGCAGACAAATCCCTGTGTGATGAGCTGACGCTTAGCACGAGAGCAGTTTGGGTTGTTCAAGAACTCATGTTTACTGTGGCACGGGGTTTGGGCACTACAGGGCCTCTTGGCAATGGCCTCTGGCTGGCAGAATCACCAGGCAGCACCCAGCATCACACGGCAGGAGTCAGGGAGCACATGATCTGTTTGTGCGTGCAGGAGAGAAGTTCCTCTGTCTTTATGATACCTTGGAGAGTCAATCACAGGGCCCCTGGTGGATTCCCCAAGACCCCGGATCTAATCACCGTAATTGGATTCAGTTTTCCAATACCTTTCGCACGAGACTCTGGGAGTCAACTTCTGCCTGAGGTTCAAGGGTGACAAGTCCTTTGAAAACCCCTGTGGACACTTTTCTCTGTGGGCTGGCGCTCAGCTGGGTTATGTTCTTGCTGGGCAAGCCTGGGCATGGTCAGCTTGTTGGTTGGGACCTTGGATGCCTGTGCTCTGTGAACTGGAGAAGTACAACAATAAATATACCAGGAGAAACTGCAATGACCCAGCCTGGCAGGGCTGCTCTTGTGGAGTTCAAGTAAAGGCGAGCCACTTGGGGCACCTGCTGGGCATGGTGGAGGCCGCTGGCTCTGACACTGGAGAGGCCTTGGGAGTCCTCTTTGGAGCCACTCAAGCTACTCTACTTTTGACCTCAGCTTTCCTGGCAATAAACTGAGGCATTGGTCTCCAACTCACACGGAGGCTGTACTGGGGGTACCTGGAGCAGGGCTGGGCATGGCATGGATGTTTGGGGGGTTCTGCCTGCTCCTGGGGGTGAGTAGCAGGTGGGTTCACAGAGAGGCAGCTGGAGGGGATCTGGAGATGGAATAAAACCAGCAGGGGTAATGTGGAGAGGGAGAAGGGGTGCAGGAGGGAAATCAGGGGAGTCCTAGAGGAGGTCCCTTTTCATTCATTCATTCATTCATTCACTGAGCATTTATTAAGTGCCAGGCATATGCCAGGCCCTGAGGATAAGGCAGACACTGCCCGAGGTCTGTGGTCGTGTGACTGCCTGTGGCTCCTGGTCTTGGGAGAAGAAGGACTTTAGACAGGAAACTATACAGAGAGCCAGCAGGGCTGGCAGAAGGGAGGAGCTGGCAGGGAAGGATAGGAGAGAGGACAGAGGGGACCTGGGTGGGATCTGAAGGTCATTTAGAGAGGACGAATGATGGGCAGAGGGGCACAGTGGAGGAGGCAAGAAGGCACAGCCCTCCGAGGGCCTGGGGTAGCTCTCTGAGGCCTGGGATGGCCAGGAGCTGCAGAAGGCCCAAGACCAGGCTGTGCCGGGGCTGCTTTCCTGGCTGTGGTCTTTTAGGGACCCTGGCCTTGACCTGGAGGTGGCACAAAGTTCCTGCAGGGTGTGAGTCAGGAGCTTGAGTGGGTCGATTCTCCTGCTACCAAGGCAGGGAGCAGCCATTGGGTCACGCATCCCTAGGGTGTGGTGGTCTTGAGGCTGGCCCTGCCTGGTCACATGCAGGGCAGCTGACTTGCCTGCTGAGGGTGAGGCAGAGAGACCTCTAGGTTCTGGGTTCACATCCTTACAGGTGGAGGGACTCGAGCAAGGCAGGGGAATCAGGGGGTTCATGGGTTTCCTTCATGGTCCCAGTAGCCAGCTCTAAGCCTGTGATAGTGAATGTCTGGTCCCTGAGCATAGCAGGTGTTCAACTGACTCAGTGGTCTCTCTCTCTTCCCCAATCATCTGCCCAGGCAGCCACTAGACTCACAGCCTGGCAGAACTAGGCCTGGCCTGAACTCAAGGGCAGAGCAGGGCAGGGTTTGGCCAGCTGGGGAAGGGGCCAGGGGAGCCAGTCAGGGAGTGAGGACCCTGCCAAGCAGGCTTGTTGTTGGTTGGGAGAAAGCACTGGGCACGGAAATGGATTCAAAGGTCATGTCCAGGAGGGTTGGTGGATGTCACAGCTCCAGGGCTCCTGCTTGGTGCATCTGTGGCTGTGGTGGGGCTGAGCTGGTGGGTTTGGGGTCTGAGCTGCAGATGTTTGGTGGGGGCGATGTGTGACCAGGATGGCTACTGTGTAGTGGTGGAGGGGTGCTTCTTGTTTCCAACATTCCTGCCCGAGGAATTCCACAGCAGGACAGAGAACAGCAGACACGGCTGGTGGCAGAAGGGGCAATGTCACCAATAGACAGGCTGGGTCTTAGTGCCAGACCTGAGTGTGGGTGGGTGAGCTAGAGTCCCAGGTTGCAGGGGCCATGCCAAGCACCTGCACACAAGCAGAGGGCTGAAGGGGCCCCAGCACTACAGGACGTAGGTTCAGCAACATTGTCAGGCTTCTATCTCCATTCATGGCTTCTGCTTCTGCCATGAGGGCCTCAGCCTCTTGCTCAGGCACGCAGATAGCCAGGTCTACCCGGGGCATGGTGCCATTTTGTTGCACAATCACCTGCTTCAAGCTTCTGGATCACGGAGTTTATTCTTGTTAGTGTA